CCCCAAAACCCCAAAACCCCAATTATCAGAGATGTAGAAATTTTATAAAAATCATTAATGGATCAAAATTGAAAATCTTCCTTTAATAGAATGTAATTTATTGAATATCAAATTGAATTAAACAGAGACTTTGATTAAAGTATTGAAGTTTTTAATAAGTAATGGGAAATACGTGGACTGGAATTTCAGACGATACCTTTAAAGAGTACGAGACTAAAATGCTTGCTCATTCAAGCATCCCTTATGATTAATTTGATATATAAAATGTCGAGATCGACGATGAGCACAACTATGTAAGGACTATAAGAGTAGGAAACCCTCAGAACCCACCGATGGTACTCTTGCATGGTTATGGAGGATCAGGAGTAATGTTTTGGAAGATAATGAAGCCATTGTCAGAGCTGTATAACGTTTATACTGTTGATATTATTGGCATGGGAGGTAGTAGCAGGCCTAAATTTACTATTGAAGATCCAAACGAAGCTGACGATTTCTTGGTACAATGGCTAGAAGCTTGGAGACAGAAAGTAGGCCTTGAAAGGTTCATCCTATCAGGGCATTCATTTGGTGGTTACGTCTGTGGATTGTATGCTTGCAAATATCCTTAATATGTAAGAAAACTTCAAATGCTCTCTCCAGCAGGTGTGCCAGTCATTCCAGAAAACTTTGACATCTGGAAGGAATTCGAGAAATTCCCAAAAGAAAGACGTCCTCCCAAGTTTGCGCTAAGCTTAGCCAAAAAAATATGGAAGAAGAGATGGTCACCTTTCGGAGCAATGAGGAAAAGTGGTAGAGGATGCGTCAATTGTCTTCTAAAAGGGTATGTAAAGAAGAGATTCTACTCTATACCAAAGAATGAAATAGACGATTATAAGATTTATCTACATTAGACACTTTTAAGAGAAGGATCGACTGAATATTGCATATTTATATGCTTTGATTATTTGATGTTTTCACACCATCCATTGGAACTTCCAGATAGACTAGGAGGAGTGTAAATTCCTGTAAGTTTCTTCTATGGAGATAGAGATTGGATGCCTAAAGAAGGAGGTCTTGCAGTCATAGCTTAAAATCCTCATAAAGATTTTCATAGCAAGCTTTATGTTATTTCAGACTCAGATCATCACATGTACTTTGACAATCCAGATGAATTTGTTATGAAAATGATTGAAGATCTTGAAAATTTGGATTAACTTGAGTAAAATAACTTCGGTTAGACTGATACTTCAAATAGACCATTATAGCATATTAGAGATAATGAACTTTAGATAATGATAGTTGATGATGATTCGGATTCAAGACAGAAAATTTTCGTTGGAAATTAATGATTGTCTCTAGTTGGCCAGCCTATTGATGTGGACCATTAAGTTAAAGATGAAAAAGTGTTCTAAATACCTAATAATATTTAATATATTCCAATAAGTATTAATTTCATTAATTTAGTCAATAATTCATGCTATCAATAGGTTCTTTTCTTATCATAAACTTAATCATGATGCTATTTTTATTTTGAGGATATCAATATAAACCACTTGAATTAGTGCTATATGCATGGGCTGTTGTAATATAACCACTTTTACATTACTTCTTTTCATCTTTGTAAGTCTTAATCATATTATGAATATCACCTAGAATTACTCCTTTATTCTCACTTTTACTTTGCAAATCTAGAGATAATCTATTAGCCTGATCTCGCATTTCTCGCTCTCTTTCTTCTAGTAGAAGTCTAATCTCTTTTTCCATTTCAAATACTTGAGATCTACTCTCAGAGCATTACTTCTCTGACTTTCTAACTTATTCTCTTAGCTCATCACCCTCCTATTCAAGTTCCTTTACCTTCCTCTTATAGTTCTTTTCTTTCTCCTTTAGATTAATATTTTCACTCCTTAGATTAGAGATCTCAGCATTGATGTCAGAAAACTTGGAATCAAAGTTATCTAGATGCTCTTCATTCGCGGCCTTGATAAAATCTAGTTCGCTTTATACTGTTAAGAATTACTACTCTAGCTCAGAATTTCTCTTGTTTAATGTCATATTACTGCTTTCTAGATTGGCTCTGTCCTTCTAAAGGTTCTCATTATCTGCAGCTAGGTATCTTAATCTGGCTTCCAATTCTGCCGATTTTTTTAGCACATCTACTTTATCATACTCCTTTGCTTTCATTAATGTTATTTATCTATCGTATTCATCATTTCTTTTTTGCAAGCTTGCTAATTATTCTTTTAAACCTTTTTCTCTGATCAATCCTTGTTCGCTAAGGTTAAATTGTAATACACTTAAATATCTTACATCTCCTAATCTTTAAGACTTATAAACTATTCTAGAGTTTTTCTCTCTTCTCTCAGTTATAAGCATTCTCTCTCCTTACTTTCCTTCATTACTATTTCCTCTGATTTGCTTTGTTATTCAAGCTAAATTTTCTATTCCATTTTTTCTATCAGCTAATGCAGCCTTTGAATCTCTTGTGCTTATTTATCCTTGGAGTTTTAAAGCTAATCATTAGTTTGTGAGAGTTTTTAATATTCTCTTTCAAATTAATCATTCTGTTTTTAAAGCAAGATCTTAGTTTCCTCTTCTTATTCTATCCTATATGAGTACTTCTGTAATGATTCAGTGAGATATTTATTATCTTCTAATAACTTTTAATTTTCCAACTCTATTTGCTTAAGCTGTTCTTTCATTCTAAAAATATTCTGGTCTTACTCATTACACTTACTGAGCAGACATTTATTATCTGTGGATATCTCAGTATATTTAACTTCATAAAAAGCAATCTCCTTTTGCTTCTTGTCTTCGGTATCCCTAATTATGTTCATTTCGTGCTCTTTTAGAATATCGTAATTGGACCTTAATCTCTCATTTTCAGAATAGACTTATTAATATTTAGATTCTGCCTCTTCCTTGACCTTTACAAGCTCTTTGTTTTCCATTTCAAGAATGCTTTAAGCTTTAATCAGCTGTTCCTTATCTTCTGTTACTTTTTAAAGCATCTATTAAAGCTCTCTCAAGTGCTCATTTATTGATGTAGATTAAAGCAGCTAATTATTTTCCTTCTCTTAATGAGTTTTTGTCATCTCAGATATAGTTTGGGTGAACTCCAATTTTCCCAACTCTATAATTTGATCCTACTCAGATATGATTTAGTCTCTAATTTCTAACTGGTCTTTTTAACTCTTTAAGTTCTCAATGCAATCGCTTAATAAATCTTCAATAGAATCTCTTTCCTTAAGTATTTGAATAATTCGTAATTTTAGGCCTTCAATGTCATTTAATCTAAATAATCTGAGAATATCTTATAGTGCCTCCTACTAGTTACCATAAACTGAAAGTTACTTAATTTATAAAAGCTTTGATTGATAATCGGGGATTTGATATTAATATTGTGACTATAGGTTCTTTTATATTTTTGTACGACTAAAGGTTTCAAAAGGATTCTTTACTGGAGATAGTACTTTTGATTCAACTTTCTAGAACTAAGGATAATTTTAGTTTTAGTTTACAAGATTGGGATTCATACTTTAGAATCCAATTTAAGATCTAGCATAATCTCTTCTGCCATTTTATGCTCCAGACAAAATAAGTGGTTACTTAGAAGGAGAGATATTTTCAGAAATACTATTTTTCTTTGGTGATAATGACCTATTAACTAATGGATGAATCCTATTTAGTACATCATTTTCCGTCTACTATGCAGTTGATTCATCTCTTCGATGGCTGTCATATTTACTTGAACTTGATATAATACTCTCTTTCTAGCTTTGAAGATTCTATTGATCTTCTTAGAATTCCCTTACTTCAAACTTGCGATCAGTTTGTAGTTGTGATTAGAGTTCATTTTGCTGCCTTTGAATAACACTTTAATTATCTGTATAAATTAGCTGATTCTAATTTGAAGTTCTATCGTAGCTCTATCTTTAGCTCTACAAGTTATTGTTACCATTGTATATTGAGTAGAATTTCTTATCATTAGAATCAACTAAAATTGAGGCTAGTGGATTATAACCCAATTCCTTATCATGTGCTTATTAATTAAAAGTTGATTGCTAATATGGGTTGTAATTGCTAGAATAAAGTTAACTGTTTCTTTGCAGCATTTGAGCAGGATGATGATCTTAAAATGTTTGCAAAGGGGGTTTGGCGTAGTCTGGACTTTTAGTCATTAGTTGATATGAATCTTTAACATTAAATATCTGCCTGGGAGTCTGAAGATTAGAATTAATCCTCAGTTTAGAAATGCTCTCTCTCAAAAAGCTAAATTTATTGTAATTAAATAAAAATCTTACTTCAATTCTGAAATCAACATTATTTTTTATTTCTCGTCAAACAATCCTTAGTCTTATTTGATAACTTCCATTATTTCTTAAATGACTTGGAGTTTTTCTAAAACCCATCCATCGATTCTTTCAAGATGCTAATAACCCTAATTTTACTGTATTTCAACTTATTTTTAAGCAATTTCTTCTTTTAAGGTATTAATACTCTAATAAGTTTGACTCATTATATCGACTTGTTTTTGCATCAAATTACTATTTTAAAACCTTTCCTAAGTTTTCTGTTTCCTATGCTTATTTTACTGAGAGGATTACAGATTTTATTCTTGTTACTAAAGCTTCTTTAAGATGGTGTCTCTGATCCTTGCACAAAATTTGACAGCTGGCAATGAATGTTCAAAATGAGCTGGACTAGGATTGACATGACAAATCAAAGCGATATTTGATTGTGAAGTAAGACTTTTTCTTAAGCATTCCACTATAACCGCTTCACCATCACTAAGACTATTATATCCGCTGGTCTTTTTTCTTAAAGCTGATCTAAGTAACTATGATGACAAGCTGTTGAAGCTTTTAGTTACAAACTACTTTATGGATTAATCTGACATTATTTTATCCTGAGTTACGGCTTACTCGCTTCCGCTTAATTCGACAAAATTCAGTGTAGAAATTTCTTGAATTTTGTTCATGGAAGTTCTCTTCATTAAAGTCAGATTAATTACGAGATGAGACTTCTTTCTTAAGTCAGATTACTATGTGCTTACACTCTCAATCCTTCTGTTCTTAAATGCTTCTTGCAATAGACTGTAGAAGTCCTCTAGATTAAGTATAATTTTCTCTGTTATGTTCTTAAGTCTAGAAACTACTTCCTGTGTTTTAGGATCTATAACATGATCAACGTAAGCTTAACGACTAGAGTTGCTTTTACTAGCTCTAGAGGCTAGTAAGTCTAGAATCTTATCTATAAATACCTAGTATACTGTCATCTTAAGGAACATTTTTTCATCGCTGTTTCTCTTTGAGCCTTATCTATTATTTACTGAGTTATATTTAAGGGTATTAATGGCACTAATATCATTTTCCTAGTCAGAGTCACCCAGACTTCTTCCATTGAATACATGCAAATCGTATAAATCATCTTAGTCATCGGTACAATTTCTAATTATATTAAACATGTCCTCTACTGCTCTAGGTAGAATTCCTCTTTCAATTCCAGCCTTGCCCTTCAAACTATATGTCTTTCCACTTCCTGTAGGACCAAATAGGATTACTGAACCATTTTCACCTTCAATAAAATTTCTAACAATTGGCTTGACTGTCTATGAGTAAAATTTCTCTTATTTCTAGGTTTCATTGATGAGATTATCAAAATTAAAGGTGAAGTAGGGTGAATGGCCACAAAATTTCGAACTAATAATAAATTGAAGAATTTCTAGGTTACCTTAAATATTTCAAGTCCTGAGAATCCACTATTTATTCATTGATATATCTGCCCTCTAGACCCTTTTCGTTTGCAATCACTACATTTGATTTTTCCTTTGTAGTAAAAATAGTATATATTTTGTCATTCTGTAGTTTTCCATTTGTATTTATATGTCCTATATCTCTAGACCTTTCTTTAGACAAACTACTGCCTCTCTGAGATAAGCTTCCCTTTTAACTAGTTGATCTGTTGATTTTCTAGTTTGAGTTCTCTCTTGACCTATTGCGCAATGAGATATATTTCTCTAATATCCATTAAACTTATATTTGAAATTTTACTATTAGGAGATTGTGAGTCCTTAGAGCTTTATCTAGATTTGTTTCTTACACTTTGGTATGATTTAGTTGAAAATACTACTCCAACATTATTAGTCCTTGAACTACTGTGGCTATCATTATTAATTCTAATTAAAGTCTGATCACAAGTCTTAGGTGGTCTTATTCTGCAGATAATTTTGACATTCGATTGATTCAACTAGACTGTTAACTGACTCTGATCAATAATTGGTGCCTAGTTATCCTGATCTCGTTGTAATTAAGCTGTAGTCAGCTGATGATGTTGCCTGGTTAGATAACTCATTTTTAAATTTATAAATTTGAATTCCTTTAATTTCAACTGATTTGAAACAATTCCATTCCCTGGGGTTTTGGGGTTTTGGGGTTTTGGGG